TAGGACTTTCTTAGCTAAGATATATGCTTTTTCATTGTAAGAATCATTTGAGTATATCTTAACTTTTGTAAGTTTTAGATCTATATTTTTCTTTTTTATTAGCTTTATTGTATATATCCTGAAGAACCAATTTTTTCTTTAAACTATTTTTTATGTATCTTTCTAAGATCTTCTTTTTCTAAAGATTTTTATTTGAAAATATATATATTACTGTTTATATAAATCTCAACTATACTTTCAATTAAAAATATTATTAGAATTGTTATCTATTTAGCTTTGTAAATAAAAGATCAATTGTTTACTCCTATTTGAAATTTGCTTTCCTTTTCTTCTTTCCCTATCTGTATCTAAGTTACTTCTATCTTCATTTCTTTCTTTTTATTATTAATAAATATTCTATCAGAATAAAAGATTAATTTTTCTTTAGATCCAAAGATTGTGTTAAAGTATTTCTATTAGGTAATCATGATATACTCTTCTCTAATATTTTTTCTAATAATATATTTTTTCTAGATTTTGATATCCATATGATTTATTCTATTATTTTGAATCATAAAAAAGATTTGGTTACAATAAATTACTCCTTTAATCCTTTTTTAAGTACTAATTTTGGATTAAGAATTTTTAATTCTCATATTCTTCTAGTAGACTTTCTTATATTGAGATATAGTATCATATATATTTTTTCTATCTTTTTTCTATAATACAACAATTATTTAGTGTTGTGTCTTCTGAACATCCAAGATATTTTTGTATATTAGTTTCCTAATTATTATTGATATTATAACTGATAAAATATTTTACTATTATTATATATTTATCTTTTTTTTTTTTTAATTTTCTCCAAGTTACTTAATTTTTTTTTGCTTCTTATTACTATTTACAATTTTTTCTACTTGTTTCAATTAGGTTCTATTTTGAAGTATTCTGATTTCCATTTTGTATAGTTTTTTTTTAAGATCTTATAAGTTGCTTTGGTTATTCTTCTGAAAGGTTTTTAATAATATTTGAAACTATTCTGGTATATGTTCTTTGTTTCTATTTTGTAGAAATTGAAATATTTGTCAATCTCTTATTTTTTAATTTTCTAATCAATTAGCTGATCCAAGTATATCAATTAATTGTTTTTAAATGATAATATATCTTTTTTATATTCTTCCGATACAAGATATTTTCTGATTTAAATATTTCTTTTCTATTTAAAGATATCTTGTTATTTTCAATTATAAAATATTATTTCCATATCTTTGGTAATTTTAATTACTTGAAGTGTAAAGTTAATTTTATTTATTAGATAACTTAAGAATTTATAGATTAATAAATTAAATAGTTTTTAATTTTTGATCTATATTTGCTTAAATCTAATAATTATTGTGATTCCTGCTGGTCTAATATTATTTAATCTATTGTGAAGTCTTGTTATTTAACTTTTTTATTGTAATATTTAAATATTTTTCAAATTATAGATCTTTAGGTAATGAATTATACTATTAGATATAGATTTGCATAAACCATTTTTATTCTTAAAAAGTTTTCTATATGCTATTGTCAATATTTTGCATATTTTCTGAATAATATATTATGTTGAATTCTAAATTTTATTATAAATATTAATAGTCTATTTAGAATATTAGTGACTTATTGGTCTATCAACTTTTTATGTTTTGAGATTCTTATTACTATGTTAACTTATTCTTTAAGTTCAATTGTAGTTTTTTGATTGTTTATTTAGATTTTCATAAATTTGATTTGTTCTGTTCTATTAAATTATTTAACTATTTATTTTTCAATACCTACTTTCATTTCTTCTAAATAGTAATTAGGATTGTTTAAAACTATTTTATTGCCCTTTATTTAAGAGTCATTGACTTTGTAAAAGATTTTTATAGTTTTTAGGATCCTTTTCATATCTTCCTTAGATCTTGTTATCTATATTATATCATTAATAAAGGCTGTAGTTACATTTCTTGATAACCTTTTTGTAATTTATTTTTTTATATCAGGGTTCCATATAATTAATATTTTATATTCTCTTTATATGTTATTTTAGATTTGTAAAGAAAATCATAAAAAATTTTTCATAATAGAGATAAGATAATTTCTTTTTGATTAATTCCATCTTAAGATTATTTTTAAATATGACACAGAATTCTCTATTTTAAAAGAGACTTATTATAATCTTTATAAAATTCTTTGGAGCTTTAATTCTTTCTATTGCTTTTATCAGCATGTCTAAACTAATATTATATGCTTTTGCAGTATCTTGAAAAGATATCCATAATTTCTTCTTGTTTTCTTTGACATCTTTACAAATATTGCTAAGAATCCAGATTGTTTTTACTATACTTTCTTTAGCAATCCTGCATAATTCTGTCTTTTGAGAATATTGTTTTTATAAATATTTTCCATTCTGTTAATAAGAATTTTGGTAAAACATTTTCTTGTGATCTCTAGTAGAATGATAGGACTAGTATTTAAAAGTCCACAATCTCAAGGTTTAGCTATAGGATATATATGACTTTGTATCCAATGTTTCAAAGTGACTTCCCATCTTAAGAAGTTATTTAGCATTCTTTTCAAGAAATCATTTCCACTTTTTTAACATTTTATAATTGATTTGGGATTTTCTTGAAACTTTGTTATTGAAAAATGTCTTCAATGTTTCACTTAATTCTTCTTGTGAGATTAGTTCAAGTAATTCATTGTACAAAAGTTGTTTGAACATATTCTCTTGATTTATACTCTTCTTTCCAATCTTCTGGTAGATTGTCATAGCTAGATATTATTATTTTAATTTAAGTTCTTAAAAAACATGTTAAAGCAAAAGATTTTATTAAAATTATCATTCCACGATGATAATGAAGATTATTATTATGATTTAAATACCGACGAAACTTGACCGTTCAATCTGCGCATATTAGCGATTTTCAGCGCATGTTGCTTGTGTGACCTAATTTATTTATATTAAATATTTTTTCTGATAGTTAGCTACTAGCTCGTAGGGTGACTCTCTGATATATAAAAATATCAACCTTATTTTAGCACCTTTTACTAGCTCCGTTAAACTTCATAATCGTTCGTGGGTCAATGAGATGACCAGTATTGCAAAGCAATGAATCTTTATATACGGGATAGCGTTAAATTTTTCTATTGTAAATTAAGGAGTGTTGATGAATCATAATAGCGTATCTACCTCAAAAGGATTATTCCAAAAATCGAAACTTAGACCCATTACAAATCATATAAAAAGAAAGAGAGGCAGTTAGTAAACCCTTCTATCTGTCTCGCGCAAAAATCAAGTAATCTAATAAAATCTAATCAAACTTACCAATATTTACATCGTCTTTCTTGAAACATATCATCACAATGTTAATCGATTTTCCCGCCTCTATAGATGTTCCAAAATAAAACGGACATATTACTCTTGATATATATCAGCATTTTGATCTTCGCCGAGAAAATCTTTGACCATCATCAGCGTATAATAGGCGTGATATTATATCTGGCTTACTGATTTCTGAGCACGAATTAAATGAGTGTATACTGGGTAGTTGGAAGACAGTTTCAGTTGATATATCTCGACTGTAACTAGCACAGCGCCTTCAGAGAAGAAGCTCGAAGCCTCACTCCTTGTTACGGGAATAGCACGAAGCCCTCGAGAATCATAGTGTTTGACAGATCTCAACTGTAACTAGCACAGCGCCTTCAGAGAAGCCTCACTCCTTGTTACAGGAATAGCACAAAGCCTTAGAGATTCATCACAGAGTGTTTGATGTGTGGGGAGATTAAATTGACAAATCTCGACTGTAACTAGCATAAAAAGCCTCACTCCTTTGTGGTGTTTTACGCGTACTGTTCCTTATACGTATTCCTTCTTCAAGTGCACGTGATATTGAATGACGTCATTACTTGTACCTGATCTACATAAAGAACGCGTTACGCATTCTCGCAACCAACATAACTGAAAATATAATGGCTTCTTTGGACAACTATATGATTCAGACCCCTGCGGACGAATGGTCACTTCTAGGCTTTCTTATGTATCGCAAGGAACAAAAAGATTTCTCGAGACTAAAGGATAAAGAGCATTTCAGATACCAAAGGAGTTTGATGGCCGTGTTGTCATGCGACGAAATCACCATAGTTGAAAAAGTAATGGCGCAACGTTGCCTTGACAATTTCAAGGTGAGTCGTACAGTTAAGCATAAGAAGGAAGAAACTTTGGAAATGCGAAATTATTGAAAGTTTCGTGAAAAAGGATTATCAAAGCAGTGACTGTCTTGTGTTAATTTATGCATATTGTATTGATAATAGAATGAGATTAACGGAGAATATGTTTGTCGTTTTTGGCGTATCATCATTTTAGAAAAGCAAGAGGTAAGTAAGTGTTGCATCGTATTGATGTCCTTCTGGTATCTATCTTACATAAAACTATCGAAAACTTCACCAAGATCAGTAATGAGGAAGAGGTTCTGGACGAATTTCAACCGCCATCAAAAAGGCTTAGGGAGGATAAACTCGAACAGCCACATACTCCAGAAGATAAGGTATTGTGTTGTTAATATATAACACGCAACAAAAACGTTTTCTTACCTCTAGAATTCATAAAGACAGAAAAGCACAGTTACCGTATAGATTACCTTATCGGTCCTGGTGTTTCCGAGTGGCACCTGAATGAAGATTCAACACGAGTAAATGTTTTTGTTTTACGCACCACGTAATATCAATGAAATATTACAACGGTTTTTTTTATTCTAAACAGTGGGTTGTAGGTAGCATCGACATTTCCGAGATATGTCTCAAGTATCGTGCTGTAGTGGTTAAAAAATGCGAATCCAAGGCAGTCATCCTGGATGCTATCGAAGAACTGTTAGTATCTTGTAGTAATATCGGTGGTAAATATACCATGACTAAGTCTTTCTCTCTTCTTACAGGGCTTTAAGTCATGTGTTTGTTTTTCAGGAAGAAAGTCCCCACGGATTGTACCAATATTTCGACGATGAAATGTAGGAAGAGCTTTTTGTTGAGTTTCGAAAACTGTATCCGTACGCATTAATCCCGGAAAAGGTTTATGATTTGTCATCAAACATCATTAAGGTAGTACATTAAACTATTGTATTTATTTCGAGGAGGCGTGCCAGTTCTGATTATGTGAGTCAATTAATGTTTTCAGATCGCGTGTGAGAGACTAAGTCACAAAGAACGTCAAGCAGCCGCAAGTCGTTGCTTACGAGTTTTTGAGACCGCAACTGAAGAAGAAGAAATAATGGTAGAAATATTCCGGGGCTTGTATGTTTCGTGAAAACAAATAAAAGTATGTTTCGTGAAAAAAAAATAAAATTTTCTTCTCAAAATGAACTTATTTTATTACAGGGTTGACAATGAGCAGTCTTTGTTCATGGGAAATAAAATCGTTGAGGACACCCACGTTATTCAAAACGTCAATTCGATAATAAGGCCCTTTTTCAAGAATAGTAGAAAAATCACTTTTGAAGGGTACGTGTCGATAATGAAGTAGTATTATGTCTACAATATTAATAAACACAAGCCTCATTTTCTGTTTTCATTCACAGGGCGAACAAAATTGCAGAGTCATCAGCAATTGCCAAAAGACGTTTTGATCCTGTTCTTCTGGGCAGGAAGCCAGATTTCACCGTCATAACGGCGAACCCTAAGAAACATGTTGAGTTGCTCATCGGCAAGGTGAGACCACAGAAAACGAGAGATGCACTTGTTTCGGAGGATCTTGTCTCTCTTGGTAAAATGATGAAGCGCGCATTAGATAAATCAATTAAGGATGGCGTAGATGATCTGGTCATTTGTGGCCTGCAGGTGATCGGTAAGTACATTTTTGAGAATAAATAATGATGCCACTCGTTTTCTATATAGACAATTTCATTCTTTGTTCTCAGGGTTTATTGGAAGAGCCTACGTGATGGATCTCCGGTTTGAAGGGGTTTATCGCATGATATTTATTGGAGAGTTCGAGCTTCCAAGGGGTTCCGCGTCATGGAGTACTGTCTTGCGGTGTTATAGGGTCATGAACACAATTCGGGTAAGCCGATGATCAATTGTGTGGATTATGTATGTTTATTATTCATTAACCTTGATACCTTTTTTAGGTTATAGTCAACGATATGGCCACTTTATACCAGCCTGCAATAAGAATGAACATTAAACAAACGAAATCAGAGAAGATAAAGTTGACCAAGCCGATGTTCCATAGCCCGATGGAGGTACCGATTTGAAAAGAAAAAACTCTGAATTACGATATGCGAGGACACTGAAAATAATATTGACACGGTAAACGAATCAGAATAGTGCTTTAGAAATGTCATAAAGTTTTGCTGATATTTACCGGATTCTATTCAATAGGTCCCGATTTTTATGTCGTCAAATAAAAATTATGATCATAAAATTTTCTGCATCGGATCTTGTTATGTACATCCCGAAACTTTGTAATAAACATTCTTTCAGCATAGAATAAAACATTTACTTGTTTCTCAAACACTTATCATATGACATCGAGCCCTAAGAGAGCAACCTCATGTGATGCATATACAGTACTGTATGTAATTTATATAAACACTAATGCCACGAACATTATATACAACTACCTTTTCTACTATAAAACAGTGAGGTCTGCTCTACACTCTCATCTCATATTACGAACAAATATACAACAAAATATGTATTTCTTCCATTCTCATATCATACAGTATATAGTTGATAAAATCTAATAGGTCGAAATATCCTAATCGATTCTCGATAAGAGTGATAAAACATTGCCCAAACCGCTTGATAATCGTCCAGGTTTTGATATGAGGTATGTTTACATGTATATTCTAAATTATTTTGGTATTAACGATTATAAACAATTCTTTAATAGACTCTTCAATAATGAGTGATCATTTGATACCTTATCTATTATAAATGGAGTATTTGAATGAGAGTATTATTACAAAATTTGGTAGACGAAAGAAAATTTAGTGTGCATTACCAATATGCTCTATTTGCATCATTTGGATAAGATACAGTAAATTGATTAACTTTGATTATTATAAATCAAGAATAATATGAGTTTTATAGCTATTTGTATTAGTTGCTGAAAACTTGTAAACATTGTTAATATATAATCAAAGAAATTTTTTTATTATTTTAGATAAAGATATATCAATTATTTTGAGTCTAAAGACTTGACATTAATCAAAAAATATTTATTTGGCATAACACTACTTATGTAATATTTATTAAAAAAAGAAATAATTTGATAAATTAATGGATTGCTAATTCTCTGATCACATACAAAAAAGATGTTTACAAGAAGTTTTTATACTTTTTTGTTAATAAAATATTAATACTTTTACTTCAAAAACCATTTCTATCTTTTCACTTTTATTTATAAACTTTTTCACTTAAAAATTTATCTTTTAATAATTAAGAAAAGTCAAATAATATCTTTAATACCAATAGTAAGAAAGTTCTCAAAGAAAGAAAAGCTAATTATGAAGTACCTTAAGACCTATCTAACCTTTGAAGTGAAAGATTTATAAAGGTTTTTTGCAATAAAAAGGTTTATTTTCTCTTTTTTTAACTGTCTTGACTCTTTTAGAACTTCTACTTTCATAGTTTTCTAAGGAATTTTACCTATCTCAGTTTAATCCTAAATTTTGTATAGCACAAATTCTTACCAAAGGTGATTGGTTAACAGAAACACATTGGTTTTTGAAATGTAAACAAGCTCTTATTGATCATATTCATATATTCTGATAATATCATTGGTGATTAAAAAGAATGTTTTAAAAACATTTGTCTTCAAAAGCTCAAGTTCTTTAATAAAGACTTTCATGATATTAAAAGATCAAGTGATAAGTAATGTGAATTATAAATTCTTATCTTTTACTTAAGTTTCTCAAATGGTAATAAAGCTTTAATAAAAAAAAACTAAGGTCTAAATGCTTTTCTTGAGATATGCCAATCTAATATTTACTTAAATAAAAGATCAGTAGGATTAACTCATTTGATATCACAGGTAATGAAAAAAAATTTTTTTTTAAAATTTAAGTAAAACAAGAAGACTATTTCAATTAGACAGATCTTTTTTGAGAAGATATTGTTTTTATTTTTGGATTTTTTTAGTGAATCTTAAATTGTTTTTTTTCTCCAATAGTTTTCGTCTTTTTTTTTTTTAATTTAATAATTTATTAATTTTTAAGCAATCAATACTAACAAATAATTGACAATAATTTTAATAGATAGAGATTATTATCAATCTATCAGAAGAGTATAATATTGTTTTCAAAATCTGACTTAGAGTAATTATATATAAAGACAAGTTAATTACTTTATAAAATTCTATAAATTATTATAGATTTTATTTAATTTTTTAATAAAGACAAGTTATTATAACATGATTGTGGGTTATAAAAAAAATTTTTTTTTGATAAATTGATGGCATAAATAAATAATCAAACTATATAATTCAATATCTTGTAAATAAATTATTAATTTATTTTAATTTATTTTTTTTTTTTTTAACCCGCAGTCAGGTCAGCATGGCATGTCTTTATTGTATATATGCTAGATATTTACAAATTATTATGACTGTCACATACTGACTCACTCATTATCGAAAAGTTATTTCTCTAAATGCAACCTAGAAAATGATATTTCGCTCTTTTACTAATTTGGACAAAAATCACTAACTGGCCAATTTGGAATAAGATCAAGGACCTAGTAAAGAAAAAAGACTTGAATCTGGAAATTCTAAAGATCAAAGTCCATAGAACCAACATATTCAACAATCAAGTAGACTTACTTGCCAAACAGGTCAAGCAGGAGAACCCAATAACTTGGAATCAGCTATTAGAGCTAGAAAGAGTCCTTATGATAGTAGCATGGGAAGAATATATAATAAAAATTAATATCAGAGATTTCGTTAAAATGTTCAATAAGAAAAAGATTGGACTAGACTGGACAACACAGAAACAGATTCAGGACCTTTGGATCCAAAATACTTAAAAATATAGATTGGACAATCTTTTGGAACCAGTTCAATCCAACCAATACCTTCGATACCTCTTTTAAAACAATAAAGACAAAAGCTTCCTAACTAACTTAACTCACAATGAACTTCCAGTTCTACAAATACTTAAGAAGAGGAAACCAGAAGTATATATCACAACCACTTGCCCAGTATATAAACTTCAAGAAGAAATACTAGAACATTTTTTTGAATACTCAGCCACTAGAGAAACATAAAGAATTTAATTGAAATAATATTGGATTACAAAAATATAAGAAGTAGTAATGAATTCAACTTTGAACC